TATCACGGCGATCCGTCTCATGTGTTAGACTTCAGTTCAGTTGGACAAGGATTTATCTTATGTTGAGGAACCAGTGGCTATTTTAGATAGGCAGGTTCGAAAGCTGAGGTCAAAGAACATTGCTTCTGTGAAGGTTCAGTGGAGGGGTCATCCGATCGAGGAGGCGACTTGGGAGGCCGAGCATGATATGCGCAGCCGTTATCCACACTTATTCACCAGCTCAGGTATTTTTTCTAACTCCGTTCGAGGATGAACGTTTGTTTTAGAGGTGGAGAATGTGATGACCCAAAATGTCATCTTTAAATTTAATGATTAATTTTGTGTTCTAAGACCTCGAAAAAAAATACTATTTATCATTACTCGCATTGCGCAGTCCGTAAAATTTTCCAGAAAGTTTTTATGCGAAAATGGATTAAAATATGAATTAGACCTTTAAAACTCAACTAAGTTGACTTTGGTCAACATTTTGAGCAAATGGACTCGGATCAGTGTTTTGACAGTTCCGGTAGGTCCGTATCGTGAATTGGGACTTGGGCGTATGCCCGGAATCAAATTCTGAGGTCCCTAGCCCGAGATATGGAATTTTGATGAAAAGAATTTTAAAGTTTAAGTTCAAATAGTGACCGGATATCGAATTATGTGCAAACGACCCCGGAATAGAATTTTAATGATTCCAACAGCTCTGTATGGTGATTTTGGACTTAGGAGCATGATCGAAATTTTATTTGGAAGTCCGTAATAGAATTAGGCTTGAAATGCCGAAAGTTAAATTTATGGGAAGTTTGACCGAGGGGTTGACTTTTTGATATCGGGGTCGAAATCTGATTCTGAAAATTTTTATAGCTCCGTTATGTCATTTATGACTTGCGTACAAAATTTGAGGTCAATCGGANAATTAGGCTTGAAATGCCGAAAGTTGAATTTTTGGGAAGTTTGACCGAGGGGTTGACTTTTTGATATTAGGGTTGAAATCCGATTCTGAAAATTTTTATACCTCCGTTATGTCATTTATGACTTGCATACAAAATTTGAGGTCAATCGGACTTGATTTGATAGGTTCCGGTGTTGTTTGTAGAAATTGAAAGTTTCAAAGTTCATTAGGCTTGAATCTATGTGTGATTCGTGTTTTTAGTGTTGTTGGATGTGATTTGAAGATTCGACTAAGTTTGTATGGTATTTTAGGACTTGTTGGTATGTTTGGTTGAGGTCCCGGGGGCCTCAGGTGTGTTTCGGATGCTCAACGGGTCATTTTTGGACTTAGAGAAGTAGCAGATTTTTCTGGTTTTTGTTGCAGAAGATTGTTCTTCGTGTTCGCGAAGGTGTGGTCAGTGGAAGCATCGCGAACGCGAGGAGCAGGATGCGTTCGCGAAGAGTATTTTCTGAGTGTGAGGTTTTGTTCTTCGCGTTCGCGAAGGGGAGGACGCGAACGCGAACGCGAACGCGAAGGTATGGTTTGTGTGTGCATCGCGAACGCGTGAGTGGCGTCGCGTTTGCGAAGGAGAGCGAGGCAGCTGGGAACCCCAGTCTTTTGTTCTATGCGTTCGCGAGATAAGGGACGCGTTCGCGAAGGTCTGAGTTAGTAAAGCTCCGCGTTCGCGAAGTGTTGGTCGCGTTCGCAAAGAGAAAAGTTGGACAACACATTTTTGTGCTTCGCGAACGCGAGACAAGGGCCGCGTTCGCGAAGAAGAAACCACTGGACAGAATGTTTAAGTTCAGAAAATGGGACTTCGTCACATTTTCCATTTTTAACGATTTGGAGCTCGGATTGTGGTAATTTTTGAGAAATATTCAGAGAAAACGTTGGGGTAAGTGTTCTTAACTCAATCTTTGTTAGATTACTCGAATCTATCACTATTTTTAACAATTAATTGGTGATTTAAGTTGAAAAAAATTCGAAAACCCTCTTGGATAGATTTGAGGATTTGAGGGTCGAACTGTTATTGGAATTTAGTCATTTTTGTATGATTAGGCTCGTGGTTGAATGGGCGTTCATATTTCGTAACTTTCGTCGGATTCCGAGATCCATTTTTGAGTTTATTTCGGATTTTTATTGAATTAATTCTATAATTTTTGTTGACTGTATCGAATTATTTATGACTAGATACGAGTCGACCGGAATCGAAAAATCATGGAAAATGCATATTACTTGGTTAAATTGGAGCAAGTCGAGGTAAGTGACTTGTCTAACCTTGTGTAGGAGAAATTCTCCTAGGATTGGTATAAAATGTAATGTGATGAAAGTCGTGTACACGAGATGACGAGTGTGTACACAGACTAAATGTGAAGGATTATGTGTTCAAATTATGAAGATCACTATTGCATATTAATTAAATTATTAAATCTTATTATATTCTCCATTATTGATTTGATTTGTATACCTTAAATTTGCTTGACCTTTTCCTGCTAATTATTTTACCTGTTTAATTGAAACTTGGTTTCTTTTATACAGTGCATTATTTGAAGGTTGATTTTCTTTAAATTAAATATTATTAATATGAAGTATTTGACATTTCTAAATTTGATATTAAAGCAACGTATTAAAGATTTTGAAATATTATTTTCCTAAATTATTTATTCCTGAATATTTCGTAAGATTTTTGGATTATTTTGGTATGAGCCGTGAGCTCTTTATTATTGAAAAATATTGTTGATGATTTATTTTTGGAAAATTAAAATATTGGGCACTTGAGGTGCAAATTGTGATATATTGTGATATTGATACGCATGCGATGGTATAAGGTCTGGGTATTGAAACGCATACGGTGAGATAAGGGTGGCTTGATACGCGTGGCTAGTAGGGGTGACTACTAGAAGTCATGCGGTGTAATATGGGTGGCTAAAACGTGGGATGCTATTTCGGAAAAAATATTTTCTTTAAATAAATTGTGAAGGCTCCCACGGTGATATAAGAAAATGAGATATTGTGAATTTATTTATGATTTGGGACTACGAGGTGGTACCTCAGTAGTGCCCTTGTTGATATTGATTTATGGCCATAGTTGTCTTCGATTAATTGTTGTGATTTTCATATAGTTGAAAGGAATTCTGTTTTGATTCCACGAGATATTATTTGTAATTATTTGGTGTCACTAAATGTAACATACTATTTGATTCATTTCCAGAGTCATTTTATCTTATTAAATTGTTTAAACATTTTTTCATGTCATTATCTATTCTCCAGTAGGGCCTGACCTGACATCGTTACTACTCTACTGAGGTTAAGCTTGGCACTTATTGGGTATCGCTGTGGTGTACTCATACTACGCTTCTGTACATCTTTTTGTGGAGATCCAGGTACATATTACCAGTCTAGACGTCAGTGAGTTACCTGCGCACGAAAATTTCGAGGTATATCTGCCAGCATCTGCAGACTCCGGAGTCCCCTTCAATCATTTTATGTTGCTTCCTTATTTTTCTTTAGACCTTGATACATAGAAACATTGAGAATAAATTTTTAGAAGCTTGTGACTTATTTCTACCGGATTTTGGGAGTTGTAATTATTTGAATTGTAGTTTATTTATTTCAGATATTTATGATTATTCCGCATTGATAGGCTTACCTAGTCTTAGAGACTAGGTGCCATCACGACCTCCTACGGAGGAAATTTGGGGTCGTGACAACAACCTACAATGGGTAAGGAAAAGAATAGTCAGCTACTAAATGATTTTCTGGTTCAATTTCACTCTATAAGGATCAATAAATAGAAATACAAGAGCAATTTCCACTTTTCTAGTATGTAAACACACAAATATTATCAAGGTAAACAACAAAGACAATATAATGTAGCAGGAGAAAAGAAACAAACGATTAAATCTACCACAATAGTTAAATGGTATGCCTGAAAACGAAGCCATTAATGACAGTTTGGAAAATTACCTTGTATCTTCGATTTGCTATTGATGTACTTATGAAATACGTGAAATTAAAAGTGTTAAATATTTTAATTCATAATATTACTAAGTGTATCAATCAGAAGTTCTAACGCGATCAGAATATCTTTAAGAATAATTTTTTTTATGTATATTTGTCTTGAATGGACGAAAACATCAGTGTCTTCTCAATTAATGTCTTCTGTTTTTCAGCCTTTGATGAAATTTGGCCCCACGTGAGTTTCAACGCCGGGCTCTGAATTTGCAAGCCTTTTGAACTATCACTTCTCCCGGTTGATAGTTTATTATAGTAGAAAAATAACTTTTATTTGAATGTCGGTTCAATATGCCAATGATATTCTGCTTCCTATATATGTGTGATACATACGCATCACTATCCACCAGTCACTGAGAATATAACTGATTTCACAAATATATAGTACACTTGTTAATAATTTTATCCAGACACCACCCAGGGCAGCACACTAAAAAGTTACTAGGAATAACGGGATGATTTACACATTTTCAAGTCCTTACCACTCTGCCTTCTCAGGTTCCATACGTACTACTTCAGCAAAACCCTCAAGTACTCCTTCAGGATCAGTTTCGATCAAACCTGTATATAATATGAATGCAGATTATTGCTTTGATGTTGTGTTTGAATGGAAAGGGAGAAGGATCTATAATGAAACACATCAATACAAATAGAAAGTATATCTCTAGGCAACAATACCAAAAATTACAAGAGGATGCATAAAGTAATAAAAAGGCAACACATTTACTTGGCATTTAGCATCAACAAAAGGTACCTTACAACTGAATAATACTAAGAAGGAGCAGATTATTATTTTTTTGCAGTTACTCAATATGTATATTGGCTGACTCATTTAAGCAGTGCTATACTTTCACCTACAATGCAGTTTAGTTTGCTAATAAAAGTACACCCTTAAGAATGTCGTATATGTAGTCATTATAAAAAAAAAGAATGTAGTATATGTAGCTATTTCACTACAAGACGCAGAAGAAAACAATAACAGCAATTAGCAAAATTTGTAGTAAAGCTATTACTACTAAACAGGAAAGGACTTTGATGGATAAGAGGCAACTCTATTATATAACAGAGAAAAATAAATTCAAGACAAATAAAATCATCAAGAAATGAAAATGAGGCAGTTAGAGAACTAACATCTAATAAATAATAAATCCTGTTCCTTTAACCAGACTTGGGACTGGTTGTGTTATAGTATAACTCAAACACAGTTGGAGTTAAATTTTTTTTTAAAAGATTGGTGACAAAGAAGTTATCACACACACTATCTATTTTTTTTATGCAAGGGTTGTTCGCCTGAAATAAAGATTGACTTAGGCAACAGTCGAAGATAAAAGTATGGAGTTGTCGAATAAGCCCAACATTGCTTATTTGAGTAATATGTTACAGAATAGTCTTTTAATACAATGTGCTTCTCTCAGACAAAAATAAAACTTAAGCGAAGTAAAGAAATTTATTCAAAACAAAATACAAAGGAGGAGATAGTAAATACATGTGTCGTACTTCAAAATGTCGTTGATCGTTTACATCAAATCTGTATTGTAGAGTTTAAGTAACATCTTTGTTTTTTTATGTCATAAGCATGTTACTTTTCTATTAGGTTATTAAATTCATGAAAATGCTTTTCGAATAACTTCATTGTAAACTACATTATATGTAGAATGGTCATCATCATTATCTGATGTAGGTGGTCGAATCAACAATCTGACACACTCTGAACTTTTAGCTCTCGATAATGCAACGTAGAGTTGACCATGCGAAAAAACAGGCTTACGTAAATAAATACCAATAAAATCTAGTATTTGACATTGTGCTTTATTTATAGTCATTGCAAAACATAATCGTATAGGAAACTGTAATCTTTTGAATGAAATAGGGACTTTTTCATCATTTGACGATATCAGTGGTATTCTAGGAATAAATACATGTGTACCCTTAAAATCACTCGTGACAATTTTAGCACTTACAATATGCGTTTTAAAATCACAACATGTTAATCGTGTGCCGTTACATAACCCTTCACAAGGATTCAGATTTTGCAGTAATATAACTGGACAATGTTTTTTTAGAGTTAACTTGTACGGAGGCAAGCCAGAAGGGTTTAAAGTATGCAGAAAATCTTCGAACTGACTTTGATCAGCGCATTCAACAGTTTCATCAATAGCAACATATGTCTTTGATGTAAATGAAAATTTAGCAATGAGCATATCATTTAACTCATCAACAAAGTCATTTTTTGTTGTTAAAATAACATGAGAAGTTACTGAAGATGAATCAGAAAAGAATGTACTTACATTTGGATATGTGATCTTGAATAATTCATCTAAAGATTCTTCTTCAGATGTAAAAGGAATAACTATAGAATCTGGAATTTTAATTTTATTATCACAATTGACTTTTTCTGTTCCATTTCCAATTCTCATCAAATATTTACAAAAGGCGGGATCAGTTTTGGTACGTATTTTTTCAGATAACTGTAATTTTTCAAGTCGATTCCAAATATTACAATATAACAAGCTTTCGCAGATAAAGTCTTTCTTTTTTTCATTTCGAACTACATGAAGGGTTTGTCTAAAATCACCTCCAAACACAATTACTTTCCCACCAAATAGTGCATGTGAATCCATAATATCTTTCAAAAGCAAACTAAAGACTTCAATCATCTTACTCTTCACCATTGATACTTCATCCCATATGATTAGTTTTGCATATCGAATTAAATATGCTAGTGACATTTGTTTACTAATGTTAATACTAAAGTTTTGATCAATATCAATAGGAATTTTAAAACGTGAATGAGCAGTTCGTCCTTCAGGAAGGATAGAAGCTGCAACACCTGAGCTTGTTGTTGCTAGCACAATGAATCCTTTAGATCGCACGGTAGCTAACAAAGCAAGGTATAAAAAAGTTTTACCTGTTCCTCCAGGACCGTCAATAAAGAATGCTCGCCTTCTATTTGAAAATATTCTGCCAATAATTACATTGCATGCTCTTCGTTGTTCAACATTCAACCTTTTTTCTAACAATATATCAGTGTCAGAAACAGTAATTGTTCTTTCAAAGTGAACTTCTCTTGCTTCTTTTGCTTCTCTAGAAGTCTGGATAATTTCAGAAATAAGTTTGTACTCATTAACATTGTGTCCCATCGAATGTAAAATTTCGTTAATGTGACTCAAAACTTTATGTCGAATATCTTTCGCGGGAAGATTTGGCAAAATCTTAAAGTCTTCTGACATCGAATCTTCAAACTTTTCCCATAAGTCTTTTGGATTAGTAGGACAACAATGTACCAATAGTGTGAAAAATAGGAGTCTTAGACGGTAAGGGGTCTGATAGCTCACCGCCTCTGACATGCAATCAATCAAATTACTATCAGAATGTAATAATCCTCTTTTCTCTGCTGCCTCTCTAAATGTATCACAACATACTCCATTCATTGTTCGTATATCTTCATATGATGTTGGACCTCTTATATTCATTAATAATAATCTAAGATAATATCTTTCTCCTTCAATAGGGTGACACATTACCACACGTCCAATAGTACATTGTAGTTTGCGACGACTCCACATTTTCTCAGTTACTGAACACACAAAGTGTTCTGGGAATTCTTTATATAACAAGTTAATCTCAATAGCATCATCATTTGTTTTATTCGTATAAAAAAATCCAGTTAACATAGTTTTTCTAATCATTGGGTTGTTTACCATTGTGTCTATATTTGCAGTGCTTTTAAAAGAAATAAATTATTGTCCGTCAAGATGTAACTAAAGATGGTAAACACTTGGATTCATTTCACTTAAAGAGAAATCAAATAAATGCCACATAGCTTCAGGAGGGGACACCCATCTAGCTGACCGATATTCTTTTATTTCATCTATTTCTATAGTTGTGACATTGTGTACAGAAAATATAATTTTGTCATGCTCTTTACGAATGTATTTGTAGAGATACTTGACGACTTTGATATCTGAACATATTTCAACATTCATGTGACAATTGAACTTATTAAGTAAATAAGGATTATAGGGAACAACCTAAGAATTGTCTAAAAAGTATCCTCTAACTTTTACCTTTTCTCCGGTATTTCTTCTCCTGTAAATTGGGTATGAGTTTTTTACCTTCGACATTTGATCAAAGTACTATATTGGATATTTAGATTTACAACAATCCTTTTTTTTCATGCATGAATTCGTAGAATTTAGTTCTCCACAGGGACCATGCATTATATGTTGAAGAACAAGTGAATAAAGATCTGGTTTTATATCTTCATTGGGTATTTCAGCACTGATGATATTATCATAAGAGTCAGGTGTCAGTAATTTATACTTGTTAGTCAATATGATAAGAAAATGAGCATGCGGAAGACCTCGCTTTTGAAATTCCACGGTATACATAAAAGTAGCAACTTTTCCAAATATGTTTCGTTTTAGTATATCCTTTTTCAATTCTTCTACTTTGGCTCTAAATACTCTATTAATTAAGTCAGGTCTATTTTGAATTTCATCGGTTGACAACAAATGTTCTTTTATTTCTGACCAGGATGGTTTGCATGTCATAGTAAAAAATATATCAGGTTTTCCAAATCGCTGTACTAACGCTATAGCATCCATATATCGTCGACGCATATCTCTTGGTCCACCTATAATTATAACAGGGAGGAAATTTTGCCTTCCAATGTTAGCAGCTTCTCTCTCACCAAGCCGTAAAGCATCGACAATCCCTTGTAACATATCGACTTTGAACAAGTCTGGATTAAATGACATAAAGTCTAATCTTTGTGTTTCAAGTTTTATATACTCATCTACAGAGTATTGCTGAAATAGTCTTCTTGTGTGTAAAATATCATCTTTATCGTTATTTCTCATTTGAAGTTTGTAACAATAATACTCACGAATAGAAACATTGTCTCTTTTTCATTTTTTCCTTTGAAGCACCTGCTCTTACATTTCTAATATTTGGTAACTCTTCATTTTGACAAGAAATAGTTTGTGTATGAGCTCTAGTTACAGGCATAATTTTTTTAATTCCTCAATGCCACCCCCCTTGACCATATGAAAATAGTAATGGATACTGTAAAGGATCATAACATCCATAATAATAATTTACTAATTGTGATCTATTACTACTAGTATAAATTTGAATATGAGGTGCTTGTATGTTGATTAAATATCATTGCTTGTAGCAATTTAAAGCTTTCCTAGGGTCTCTTTTCCTCTTCTTCAGGCCAGCCTCCACAGGTATGACATCAAAGTGCAGATGGAGTTGACAAAATCTGGTGATGTTTTGCATCTTGTGTCCTTGGCTTTATCCTTTATCCAATGTCTGTAAATTATAAAATTCTGGTTAGTATTAAGCCATGGAGGAGTGTCTATATTAGAAGGTTCTTTTCTTCACAAAATTTCATATTCTTTTGTACCCTTTAGGAAGAGGGAAAACAAAGACGCAATTGCTATTATGCTAGTGCTATTGCAATGAGATCAAGGTCTTGGCGAACAATTGTAGCACAATTTTCCTGCTGAATATTTTACATTAGTTACAAATGTTCATTCGCTTCTTGCTTTTTGTTTTCTTCAAAATTGATTCTGTTTCTAAGTTGTGCTGGTGAGCTTGTCAGGGATTCATGGTACTGAAATGAATCTAGCAATCTGTTTCCGCTGTGTGCAATATTTACTCACTCCAAACGAAATAAAGTTGTCTGATCTGCAGTACTGCGTCCTCCACGTCTGGAGGCAAGTGTTCAAACTATTTACGAATTGTATAATATATTTTGCATCACTGTAATCTTTTGAATAGCTCAGCAAACAACTGAAAAAACGAAATGTAATTTAGAGTCTTATTTTCTGGAATACGTTCGTCCTCGAACGTGCCGAGAGTTGTTCCAAAAGCCAAGAAATGGCTGTGTAACCTTCCCATGCACATACCCGGGGGTGATCCCACATCACCCTATCCCATACAGGTCTGATAGCACAGCATAACTGAAATTTCTCAATTCAACCTAGCCCACAGTAATAAACCTCGTATCAGATAAAACCTCATTCTAAAACCTTCGTACCCTGCCGATTATGAAAGAAACATACCGAATTCATAACCATTCATTAGACCAACAGGTCATGGAGCTCCCGTTCCTTCTACAAGAACTATAGCCAATCTCAAAGCCGACTTCCGATATTATCCTCCTAATTATACCACAATTAAATATAATAGCATCCATTCTAGGCCCAATGACCTCGTCTCATCCAACACGACCACTCTAGTGACATGACACATCAATACAATCTAAAGCCACAACCCGTGCAATCTGTGTACCAGATAGCAACATTCCAAATGTAACCAATCGTAACAATGACCCAAACAGGAGAACCATTCCGCAAGCTTGACGAGTACCATTGCGACGCAATGCTAAGAACCCATCACACACCGCAGAACCATAACACACGAATCTTACACGAGGGATCATATTTCCACATAACTTTGTTGCAATACGCGACCCTATCCAAATACTAGTCCATATGAAACACCTCAAGCCACCTTGCTAAAATCAATAACCATGCGCAATTCGACATCAAGTACCCAAAGTGTATTACCATAACCACGGAGAAGCAAACGACACCATGTAACATAAAACCCGAAAGAAAACATAACCAATATGTCATCAACCAAGCAATATCCAATACTATTCTCGCTCAAATTCTGCTATAAGGCCACAATAGAACCGCACCATATGTGCATATAACCAACGAATCACAACTCCTTGTATCATTGAAGAATAACTCACAGATCATTTCAGAACACAAATAAGCTTCACATCAACTGAATGGCACATCCTTCAACAATAGCAGTATGGAGCCAATCAATCCGGCTCGGTGTAGAATACACATCCTAATTGGGCCTACCAATGGGCCCCAAATCAACAATGGTCACCCACCAATAGATAAACAACCTCCGAAAGTCCACAATGACGGAATCATAATACCTTCTATCGTCTGGCTAGCTCCGGCCACAACTTCACAGTCCACAACCATGAAACAATCTGCTCCTGAGAACTCCCAATCTCTAATTCCATAGAACACATGAATCACCATATTTGATTCCACCTCCACCGCCCAAATACCTAACACCTCTCTCATACACAATCATCCCATGATAAATACTTAAAAAAAATTCTTCAGTGCCACATCGCAAAAATTTGAATATCAACAGTCGATTAACGAGGAGAGTGCCGCAATACCAGCGAAGTACCCATAAATCAAAACACACTGCCCCTTCTGAAATGTACACTCTCATCAAGCTATACCAGATAGTAATTTCATTTACCTAGTCATCGGAAACCGTTCATGCTGCCTAAGAATTTATGTCCTTCCCTTCAAAACTGAACTGTGACCTTGTACAGGTAAATCCTATTCCCGCACAACACACCACATTTATTATGCCATCAAATGACAAGCATAAGAATTCCATTATCAACTCTGAGTCACTAGCAAATTACATACCTTATTAGTCAGAAACCTCTTTCTTGCTTCTTTCTAGGAGAAAATCATAACACACAACACGTTCCGTACATCGGTAGAAAATATCCGGTTCAAACCATGGTAGAACCCATCATGAACACTTTGAAATCCATTTGCACATAACCAAGCTATCTGAACTGAATTCCTCTAACTCCACCAAGACACACAGGTTGCCAAATTCGAGAGCATTGCCACGAAATACCTGTAGATACTAGCCACATCATAAGTACCCAAAGAACCGATCATACCCATTACTGTGCTAACCCAGCCTACTACCAAGTTGTCCTATTTCTCCAAGTTCTTTCTAAATTGCCTTCAAATTGCTACTTTTTCCTTGTTAGAACACTACTATCCTTAACTAAAACTTACCCCACGAACTCTAGCATAGCATCACGCCGCCCTAAGGCTTATAAGCCACAGAATTCCCTTTTTATGTATCCCAAAGATTCCACAACCAAAAATGCTTACTCCGAAGAGAGTTTATGTGAACCTAAAACTATTTTCTTCACCTTCTTGATACTGAAATGCATAAAAAGGGAATGATATAAGATGCCACGAGTCTCAACACCGTTCAATGCAACTCCCAGTTTTCTAGCCATATTTATAAATCTTAAATCCATTGGAACCATTCTCGAGAGTCATCCACTTAACTCAAATCTCGAATTAACCGACCAAACGGACCGAAACGACATGTGCCCCATTAGCACACCAATACCCAAGGGAATAAAGAGTAACCCACACTCCTACGCAACCGAGCAAATTCCCGCTCCATGTACACTACATTCTCTGTGAATAACCACTTAATTATTTTATGGTCCTCCTATAACCATAGAGTATAATACAACTTGTGTCCAGAAATTCCTTTACCCGAGTCATCCTCGACCTCGACCTCTGCAAGTCATAACTGATTCACCGGTATACCCCGA